AAGGAAAAAATATTAAACTTGTATTTTCGAGTAAAAAATGAGTTCGCACTTCAAATCCCACCTATTTAAAAAATTGATAAAAAAAAACTCAACCTGAACCGAACCCATTTATCAGGCAGGTCAACTTGAACCCAAATTTTTCAGGCTGGATTCCTCTCGAGGCCTTCTTTGTAGGTTCAGGCTATGAATTGCAGTAAATATAAAGCTATAATAAAGCTATAAAAAATATGAAAATATATAGTAAGGGCAAAGTTACTTGCTGTGATGCCAAAACTCTAGGAGAATTTGTTGGCTAAGCTAGGCGAAGGCTGACGAGTAGCTTTAGAGTTTAAGCTATAGTTGTTCTAAAATAAGAGCAACTTTGAACGAGTACTTAGCCTCGGGTGAGTTCGTAATAAGGTTCCTATAATGTCTTGTAAGCCTAGTTTGCTATGTTTGTTGAGAGTTTGCCATGTTACTGCAAGTGTTTGATGGTCTTTAGCGAGTTTTATATACCCTATGGCAAGTTTATTGTGCCTCTTGTTGGGGTAGTAAATCACACAACAAACACAAAAAAAGAAAGAGAAAATGCATCGAAAAGAAAGCTGAATCCTAGGAGTTAACGTGAAAAAAAATTTATCATGTAGCCACACCACACCATGAAATTCAATATGAAAATTAGAAAAATTTTGTACAGATCTTTCTTCTCTCTTTGTGTCTCTCTTCAATCTCATACATGAACGAACAAAGAGAAACGCACAAAAAATACCAAGGGACGCAACCCTTCATGAAAAATGAGAAAGAAAATTGCTCAGCCCGCCTCGTAGTATCGCGACACCAAGTTTCAAGCACCGTGACACTCCACTCATTGTCTTTATTATGCCTAACAGCGCTGTAGCGCCAGGGTTTGGTGCACTATAGCGCTCCCTGGCAACACTACAGTGCTTTGCTCTCTGCATGTCTCTGAAAAAAACTATATGGTTGTGCGGAAATAAAAATTCATGTGCAAAGCACCTGAACCATAGCAAGTGGAGGATCACTGGCGAACTCAACTGATGAAATTGTTGTATGAGACAATAATACAACTCGATTGATCGACACAATCAGATTCCACACAAAACTAGAACCTCTAGCAATTTTGATATAGTTCATTCTCATTATTTTGCCAACTTGCTTTGTACATCCCATCTTGGCTTGAATCGGATTTTCAAAATATTTGAGTGTACAATATTTGTTTTTAAAATAAAGAAAAGCTAAAGAGTTGAAGTCAATCTTATGTCCTTCACAAACAGCAGCACATATTATTTTTTTTCCTTGAAATTTATTCTTTGTTAGCAATCAAAACAGTATAAGAATCTGATTTATGATATAAATATATAATATTCAGATTAGTTTGGAATCTCCCACGCGACTTTATCTTATTCCAATTAACTTCTGTTAATTTTTTCTAAATATAGCATTGTTCTCAATTTTTCAATAGAGTCAAAGCATTAGATTCGTAGTCTCCTTCAAGCAAATCCACTCAACTTGTTGGAATTGGTTTGGGATTCGGTTGGAGCGGCTTTCTTGCCGCTTCTTAAAATAATTTTTTAATATAAAATTTTTAGTTTTTTGTATTAAATATCTGCTTTAAGATGCGGTAAGAAAGTCATCTCAAAAGAGACCTTGATGCAATATATCTCACAAGCATAATTTTTACGTTACTTGAACATTGTCAATTCGATCATTTTTTCGATATTATTTCGAACAAATTAGTTTCAAAATACTAAATATCTTATCCTCCTAAGTTTCACAAAAGTGACATAAAAAAATGATATATATACCCAAAGAATCTCACATTGAGCAATTTTTGACTACATACATGCTCTCTTAAATCATATCCCTTCAGTTCTTATTTGTTTGGATATTTGCTTTGTTTTATATTGGTAGTAGAGGACCATAAGCATCTTCTTCTAAGTGTAAACTAACAAGGAAATTGGATGTGGATGGTCTTTATGTTTGCTATCTTTAGTACTCTCTCCTAGCTGATTGACTTCATAAATTTGTTTTTTTTTTTTTTTAAACCCACGAGAGGGGCCTACGCGTTAATAAAAGGGCAATCCAACAGGTCTTTACCAACCAAAAGGTCAAGGTGAGCAGAGTGTTGAATTGTCGAGGAAAAGAAACTTCTCTTGAGTTAGGTTTCATTTGGGATTGCTTTCTTACTGCTTTCTATAATTACTTTTTAGTACAAAAATTTATAATTAAAAAAAAAATTGCACTAAAATGTTGCTTTAGAAAGCAATAAAAAAGCTGACCCAAGCGAGATATATAATGGAAAACTCTGGTTAAATCATATCATTATCATTTTTTTTCATATTTTCTGCTACTTCTTATTGAGAAATAGAATATGGATAATTTATTTCTATCTACTTTTTATTTCATTTTATTATATATTGCTAATCAATATTTATCTTTGAAATTTTTTGTAAAAGTAAAACTAGCAAATATTGGGAAAATAAGATAAATGATTAAAACATTTTCTCTAATTTTAAAGAAAATATGCCACAAATAGGATCATTGAAAGATGAAAGAGCTTCACTAAAATAAAGGAGATACAATTACGGAATACTTACTCATCATGAGACTTTGATTAGTGGGAAGCTATTATAAAACAACCATTAGTGGATGCATTAATAATTATAAAATGCATGCATTGTTCACAAGATCAGTAAAATATGATATTTAGGTGGCTATTTTAGCAAAATTTTCACAAGCTTATTAATGTTAGAATTTCTTGACCTAATTCATTATCTCATAGGTTATTTCACAATTATTTTCATAGGCTATGGATATATGTTCGAATGTGATCATTTATTTGATTAAGTTAATATAAAAATATAAAAAATTAGGACACACGTGTCTGTTTTAATTTAAACATTATTTTAATCAGACACGTGTATGTCGTGTCTGACACATGTCTCAGCCGTTTCGGGCACATGTCCGACACGATATTCAGTCTTTAAGAGGTGTGTAGATGCATCATAGATTACAAGTGTATGAAGAACTGACAAAATATATGGTGAAATCTATTTATGGTGATCACATGCACTCAGACAGTTATGTTTTAGAAGATTTGATAACTCTGCCTGAGCTATGATTCGATGATGATAGTCACACGATGATGGTGCAATGACTGCAATGGGGATTAATGATAATAAATGATTTTTAGTCTCCATTGTTCTTTAAGTTAGAAAAGTAACAACATATCAGTGAAGATGTATTTTTGTAGAATAAGAATGATAAAGTGGAATATCTTGAGTAAGCAGTTTTATCTTCTAAGATTTTATTTGGGACGACTTTTTTACTGCTTCTTAAAACATTTTTTTAAACAAAAATTAAAATATACGTACTAAAAAGCTCCTTTAAGAATCAATAAAAAAAGTCGTCGCAAACGAATCCTAAATTTAGCTTCAATTTTCATTCACCTTTGCATGTTAATTTTTTAAAAATAAATATTTTCTTATATGGTGGAAATATTAAAGTAGTTAAAAATTAAAACTATAATAAGAATATTATATATACATAATTTAATTTTTAATTAAAAAGGAAATTACATGCAAAACTCTCAAAATTTATAACATTAACATTATTTTTCTGAATTATCAAATTTATAAATTTGCATATATCATTATTAAATTGTAAGAAAATATGAGCCAGAGCTGTGAATTTTAAAATTTAAGTGATAGTTAAAAAAATAAAGGTAAGAAATATTTTTTAATAAATGATTAAAATTTAAAAGTTAAATCAAACTGTTAGAAAACATGAGATAGGACAGGTCGTACATTTCTTCTACAGCCTTTGTAAGGAATTTCTTGGTTGAATATTAGGTGCATTATACACATTTCTTTAAATTAACCAAAGAAGGAATCTCTATTAAATAGTAACATTTTTTTCTTGATAAATGTGTATCAAATATAGCTCCTTATTACACTGTTAACTCTTAATCACATTTTTTAAATTTACTAATCATTTTTGTTCCTAAAAAAAACATAAATCACATTAAATATAACACTTCAAAGACAATTAACCCAAATATCACATTGAATATAAATTTTCAAAGTAGAGGCGAACTTCGGTTTCCTTTGGGTCTGCTTCTTTGCTGCTTTCTAAAACGGCTTCTTAGTACAAAAAAATATTGAAGTAAAATTTTTTGTACTAAAAATCAATTTTATAAAGTAGCAAAAAAATTGTCCCAAACGAAACCTTAAGCTTTTACTACTTCATAGAGCAATTTTTTAATAAAAAATAAAAATTTTATATTATAAAACTGCTTTAAGAGAAGCAGAAAGAAAGTCATGAAAGAGCTCATGATCTGGATTATATTTTGTTCAGCCTCAAAAAAGTCTGATTACATCCTAAAATATTTCTTTTTAAATGATTTCCACCATTTAATAAGATTATATTTTCATTTTGGAAATCTACCACTTTGATGTTTATGTTGTCAATTAGTTTAATTAATCATTATCATAGTGCCAAATCCCACCTATTCTTTCAAAAAGATTAAAAAAAAAAATCTTTACTCTCTCCTACAGTAAACTTGCAGCTCCAAACTGAACAATCCTTTGAAAAAAATCTGTAATCTGTCATCTCTGTTATTACCTAATTCATTTGACAATAATCTTAGAAATCATCAAAATCCTTAGCTTAAATCCCATCTGCACTACGCCTTCACACAAAATATTCTTCTAAAAAAAAAAAATCGATCAGAACGTACAGATTTCTTGTCAATTCTATTCCCCCCCTTATTACTCTCCAGACATTCAACGAAACCCTATCAAATTCGGCAACCTGCCAACAAAAGCTACAGATGTATAAATAGAAGTAATATAATAACAGTACAGTACTAATAGTACCATCACACCACCTCCCCCTCTCTCTCTCTCTCCTCCCCTCCTCCATTTCCTCCTCCTCACCACCACCACCACCACTGAGAATCACATACATACAATATAAATAACAGCACTTCAAACAATACATAAAAACAGATCGGTTAATTACCAGAAATATGACTATGTTGTTGCTTACTACCACTCCGCTTCTTCTTATCATAACAGACCCCGCGCGCCTTAGACTGAAGCTCGCGCACTTGGCGGAGGTAAAGCCTCACGGCGCGTGCGGCAAAGGGATTGGTTTCCGGGGCGGCGCCGCCGTGCTCGTCGTATGCGGCGCGGAGGCGGCCGATAAGGGCGTCGAGGCTTCCCCAGGCCTGCCGGAGAGGGCACGGACAAGGGGAGGGGGGGTTGGGCTGGCCGAAGAAAGGACAAGCGATGGAGTGGACTTTGGTCTTGCCGAATTGGTCTAAGTAGCGGAGGAATTCGAGCACGTGAGCGCCGCTGCAGCGGGAGAGGGTGAGAGGGGGGCGGTGGTTGCGGAGGTATTGGCCGAAGGTGTTCCAGTCGCGGAGCTTCTGGGATTCGTAGCGGCTGAGGGGTGGATGGTGGGGGGAGAGGGGGAGGGTGGTGGTGGTGGTGGTGGTGGTGGAGGAGGAGGAGGAGGTTATAACAGGGGTGGTAGTGATGGAGGTTATAATCGTGGAGGTGGAGATTACGGTGGTGGACGTGGTGGGTATGGTGGAGGAAATCGTGGCTACAATGGAAATCGTGGTGATAGGGGTAGAGGTGATTCTTTCAACAGCCATGATAGGGAGGATGGTGGTCATGGTAGAGTGGGTAGAGAAGATGATGGAGATTATGGTGGCAGAGTAGATACTGGTTATGCTGAGGTTCCTCCTCCAGCGGCTCCCTCTTATGGCGGAGGTGGTGGAAGCTATCCTCCTGCACCAAGCTCTTATGGTGGGAGTGCTGCTTATGGACATGACTCTGCTCCGTCAGCTACTGCTTATGGTGGGGTGAATTCCTTGCCCCCATCTTATGGTGCCCCACCTCCGAATCCTTACAGCGGTGAGCATCCCTCTAGTCGGGGTGCTCCGATTTATGATGGTGGGCGTGGTGCTCCTCAGGCTGGTCGTGATATGGGTGGTGTTGCTCCGGCACCTTTTGCAGGTGGTGCTTATGGGGGTGCTCCTGTTGAACCTCCATCAAGTATTAAGCAATGTGATGACACATGTGGAGATACGTGTGACAATTCTAGAATTTACATCTCAAATTTGCCAACAGATGTGACAACTGATGAATTAAGGGATCTTTTTGGTGGCATAGGACAGGTATCGTTTAATTTTGTTCATTGTTTTTTTTCACTTATTGAAAAGATAAATTGCACAGATTTATAAATTCATTCTACACTCTTGTAAATTTTATTTCAGCCTAGGTTTTTTTGGGCATGCTGTATGGTTGTCACTTTGGATGGTTTAATTGAAGCACTGTTACTGTAATGAACGGATTTAGTTTTTGCAGATTGATTTTCATTTAATTCTTACAATGCCAGAAATTCTTCATATCATAGAAATTGTCTGTTTGAGTGCCATCTTATGAGCCAAATATTGAACATTTTTTTTAATCTTGCTGATGTTTCTGTTGCCAAGCAATTAACCTTTTTTTATCTTCTTGGTTTTTGTTAGTCCACTGTGTTGTAGTATATATTCTTGCTTATTTTTAATTATTTGACTTCATGATATTCCCTTTTTCTTCTGATGCAGTGGGGATTGTTTTTCCTGAATAGTGATAATGCTTATTATGTTTATTTGGTTCCTTTTTCCAAGAAGTAAGCATGATTTTTTGTAGATTATGTTGGAAACTTAACTCACACTTATGTAACACAAAGCAAAAAAAAGAAGTTTCCACTAGCTTTTTTCTCATGGGAGGCATACCGGTTTTAGTTTTACCTCTTAACCATTTATCATCATCATCATTAGCTTTATACCAACTATTTGAGGTTGATTTTATATATCCTTATTTTTTATTTCTTTCTATTGAGTGCTACATTCGGTATTAAATATATTGTTATTAGTAATTCATTTTGAGCACAACTTCAATCTATTTTATTTTTTTTCTATCATTTTTCTACATAATTCTTTGATACTAATTTTATTAACCCATTTAATAGGCTTATTTTCTATCCATCAATATATATATCTCTAAATGATATATATATATATATATATATTAAAAGTTATTTTCAGTTTTTATGTAATTATTTTTAAAATTTTGAATTTTTATATTGTAATTTTAAATATCTATTGTTGTATTTTATTGAAAAATTCAATCATAATTTAACAGATTCATATAATTATCTTACTCATAATAAATTTAATAAAACTTATATATATATATCATATTATATTTTTAATTTATATTATTAAAATAGGAATGGTAATTGTGTTTTTTTTATTTTTTTGGTTACGGTGTGAAAATAAAAGATTGGAGTAAATGCAATTCCGAGCTGGAGATGTGAGTAATGATGTGATGGTAACGCTGAAAATTAAATTTTCAGTGCAGATACAGTGAAAAAACCGATGGCTGTAAGGAATAACAAAGCAGCTATGAACAAATATTAAGCATAAAATACCCCTTTTCTAATACCCTTATTGATTAAATATTACTCTTTAATATTATTATTTTTAGTATTTGAATTTTCCTTTTATGATAAAAATATTATTATTTTGTTATGACAATTAACATTATATTTACTGCAACAGTCATATGCATGTAAGAGAATTAAGAAGCAATTGAGCAATCCTTGTTGTAAGGCAACTCAAACACATCAAAATAAGGAGAAAAAAAAAATATATAGCATGTAAATAACTAATATTTGAAGATTATTAAAAAGAATAGAAAAAAAAATTATAGATAATTTGAATCACCTTTTAATTATTTTTATTTTTAATCTTGTATTGTTATATCTTCTTATTTATTAAAAAATATATAAAAATATCATAACACAGTTATTTTTCTTCTTCTTAAGGTTTAGTGCTGGAGCATAACTTTTTCAACTATTAAAATTATGATTTGGATGTTGACAAAGTTTAATAACTGAGGCAGTCTTTGCATCATTGAGATTTAAGGTCTGTTTGGGGCGGCTTTCTTTCTACTTCTTAAATTAATTTTTTGTACTAAAAAATTGCTTTAAGAAGTAGTAAGAAAGTCACTCTAAATGAAGCCTTAGATTCATCTGAGGTGGCATTTGGTTTATAAATGTAAAGCTTCCGTTCATATGCAAGGGCATTCTACAATATCTCTTATTGAGTTCACCATTTCATATATATTATTACTGTACCGTTTTCAATACAAAAATTTGATTGACTATACTTTTGTTCTTCAATCACCTTCTTTTGATTAAAGGTTGAGAACTTTCTTCATTAATTTCATATAATTTGATATAGATTTCGGGGTTGATGATGTTCCCTATTTGATGTTGATCAAAATTTTTTTTCAATTAATTGTTTTTGATTTTTTTCCTCTAATATAACATTTTTTTTAAATTGTTTTATTAGTCATATGAGAGTAATATATATTAGGGGTGTCAATATTTCACGACCCGAAAATTTGACTCGAACCCGACACGAAATTTTTTGCTTCGGGTTAACCCGAACCCGAAACGGGTCAGGTTCAGGTTAAAGATTTTGACCCGTTTGAAAAAACAGGTTGGGTCCGGGTTGACCCAGAAACCAGAGATCGACCCATTTTGACCCGGACCGACCGTTTCCTGCTCTCTATCCATCCTATCGCGTTTAAAGATTCGCGTCACGGCGTCTGACGTTTCCTCGCCGTCACGGCGTCACTCATCAGTGGTGTAATCGAGTCCGACATCTGGGAGCTCCACAACCGGATGTAACGACGGGAGCTTGGAAGTAGCGGAGGGAACTTCTCAGTTAGAAGTACTAAAGTACGACAGGAGCTTGGTAACTCGCAAATGACGCAAAGCGACAGGAAGTTCGACAGCTCGCAAAAATCGAAAAATCCCTAAATCCTTGTCGGGTCGGGTTGAGCTAAAACCGAATCGGGTCAGGTTCGGGTCCGAAAAAGCTGACCCATTTGCAAAAACGGGTCAGGTTCGAGTTGACCCGAATAGTGTGATCTGATCAATTTTGAATTCGACACAAACCCAACCTACAACCCGAAATTGACACCCTTAATATACATCAAACTTTAATTTTCTATCAATAATATTTATATCAGTAAAAAAAATATGATTCCACATAAAATTTTACATTCCTTGTACTTGGAAATCAGGAAAAGAGTAGGTATATATAGTAATTACAATTAAAAAATTACATACACAGCAATAAATAAACAAAGCCTGCTTAGCAAGTAGGCAGCATGAGAGCCTATTTAGATTTTATTTTGAATGATTTTCTTAAAGTAATTTTTTAGTTAAAAAGTTAAAACTTTTGTACTAACCTTCACAAATAGCCAAAAAAATCCAAAGCCATAAATAATTCTAGAAAGTTTACTTTCTGATCGAGATAAAAAAAACTTGTAGGAATCAAACAATCTATTATATACCGTATCAGATATGAAATACATGCAAAAATGACAATTGCATCATATACTGTATCAGATAAATGAATTCCGACAGAAGTTTCATCGTACAAAACGATGGAATGGCTGTCAGAATCCATAAAAAATTGTAAGAATCAAACAATCTATTATAATGTTTTTGATGTTTTTGTCATAAAAGATCTAAGGACAAACTGTAGCTAACTAACCAAAAAATAACAAAATGAAAAATAATAAGAACAGCAAGTCTCGTCATTTGTTTCAGCATTTATATTTACAATGCAGCAAACACAAATATAAATCATTGCAATCTGATCAAAGGCAGCCAACGTAGGGAAATAAGATAATGTAAACACTCAATCATTGCAGCAAACACAAATATAAATCACCAGCAACCGCAGAAGCCGATGTTGTGGCGTTAGGCCTAGCTCCGCTACAATGAAGCCGATGTTTGTATAGAAATTTTAGATTTGACATGCAATGTCGTTGTGGCACTAAGTGGTGGCATTGTGGCGCAATCTATTAATTTTTTTTAATATAATATTTTTCCCACTCATCGTCCCTCATTTCCCTAGCCAGGGGCATTGAAGAACTTTAACGATATAATTTTCTAATGAAATTTGAGAGTAAATATAAATTATGTTCAAATTTGAGTAATTTAAATTTAATTTTTATTTGGTTAGGTTCTCAAGAAATGGGTTTTGGCCAAAAGTGTTCTATGATAGGATATCAAATTTCTTACTCTATTTTCAGTTGTATGATATTCAAGTGTGCATACAATTTTTGAGAGAGTTTTCATTATTAACAACCAATTGGTACCATATATCCTTGAGATTTCTTCCTCATTATGGTTAGATGCAATCCCACAAGTTTATTTCAACATGAGGCACCTTTGCCTTCATCTCCTTTGATTGTTAATTCTTCATATTGTCTTAGAAATAAAGAGCTCAAGTCTTTGGGTCAAATTTATGAGGGCCAAGTATTTGGGGAGTTTTCATCCTTCCAAATGCTTTTATTCCAAAGGCCAGTCTAAGGTGTGGCATAGGCTTTGTTTGGTCAAATGGAAAGTGGAACCCTCTTGAGTTTGGGGTCTTGGGGAGAGTAATATTTTCTTATGGCAGGATCGTTGGATTGATGGCCAGCCTCTGAATTCTTTATTTAACACTTTTTCTTTTGACACTGTAAAGGTTAATTATATGCTTTTTTGCTAATGGGTGGGATTTGGATAAGCTTTCCTCTATTCTTCTTGTTTCTATTATTTAGTTAATTATTAAGATTCTCCTTAATTCCAACTCCAAGGATGTTTTGCTTTGTACTTTTACTAAAGATGGCTTATTTAGAACTAAGGATGCTAGGCATTTTTTAAGAAGTAAAAATGATGTGTCTAAGCTTTTTAATATGATTTGGCACAAAAGCATTCCCTCTTCGATCTCTGTTTTTATTTGGAGAATGCTTCACAAGTACATTCCTATTGATGAGTTGTTAAGGAAATTAGGCTTTATTCTTCCCTCTAGATGTCAATGTTGTTCCCATGTTGAAAATATGCATCACGTCTTCAT